GAGGGGAGGGGGAGTTGAAGCGTTTTACCCACATACTTTACTCGTACATTATTCTTTACCTCCCCACCCTGATCAAGGGCCCACAGGGACGTATGTCCTTCTCAGTAGTGTTAATGATATTAAAAATAAAGATTTTAAAAAAGTTCAAAAGATTGTTTTATTTCCAGAGAACGAGGAGGGGAGAGACAGAGCTTCAATATGCAGGTTCACTTCCAAATGGCTATGTAATTTGATTCTCATCATCATTTTTTAAAATTAAAAAAAATTTTTTTTCCTCTTTTTTATTTTTTACAACTTTTTTGTATTTTTAATGTATTTTTAAATTCTGTTTTTATTTTTTTTTTCCTGGTTCCCATCTTTGGATCAGATGAGCTTGGACTGTTAGTCTATATATAGAGTGCATAACCAATGGATGGGCATTCTCTCTGTCTCTTCTTCTGTAAAACCTGCCTTTAAAATAAAAGTAAAATCTTAAAAAAAAAAAAAAAGATTAGCTGTAATTGGGTGGAAGCATAGCAATATAATTATCCTTGAATTAAGTAGCACCAGTTAAAATATCTTTAAATTGAAACATGCACCAGTTTGGTTCTGGTCACTTTGCAAAATAAGGTATCACGTTGGAAATGACTTTGTTACTTGGAATTCCATTGATAGAGCGCTTCTACTTTTTAGGAAGAGCTTGGATTTGATTGAATCTCTGCTAAGGCTTGCGGAAGTTGGCCAGTATGAGCAAGTCAAACAGCTTTTCAGCTTCCCTATCAAACACTGTCCAGACATGTTGGTATTGGCCTTACTACAAATTAACACCTCTTGGCACACCTTACGCCATGAATTGATCTCCACCTTGATGCCAATTTTCCTCGGGAATCATCCTAACTCTGCTATTATTTTGCACTACGCATGGCATGGGCAGGTAAGAGATGTCTGTTTGCTTTTCTTCCTCCTTTTCTTTCTTTTTTTAGAGGTTTATTTTATGGCAAAGGCAGGTTTATAGACAAGGGGAGGGAGAGGAAGAGAAAAAAAGATTTGCTTTACACTAGTTCACTTTCCAAGTGGCCACAACAGCCAGAATTGAGCCGATCTGAAGCCAGGAGCTAGGAGCTGGGAGCTAGGAACTTCTTCCGGTCTCCATGCGGGTACAGGGTCCCTTTGGACCAGCCTCTACTGCTTTCCTTGAACACAAGCAGGGAGCTGGATGGGAAGTGGAGCAGCCGGGATAGAAGCCGGCGCCCCTGGATCGTGGCAGATATACAGTGAGGGTTTAGTCAATAGGCTATCTTGTCAAATGCTGCAATTAAATTTTAAGGAAGTGTATAAACTGGGGATGTCATATTAAATCATACACTATTCTGATTTTGTGCTGAAAAACATGTTAGGCAGACATACAAAGTGTGCTATGTGGGTGTGGAACGTAACCTTAACTTCTGATTTTATAATTCTAATTTCATAGTATTTGATATCTTAAAAAAAGTTTGATATTTGTAGTTGATGCCTTCATAAATATATATTGTTTACTTAAATGTTACGCAGAAAATGAGGTGGGCATTTGTAATGGCATGTATCTGAGTGTTTTTCAGAATTGCCTTTAAATTCCTCCCCTTTTTCCCAAGGGGCAGTCTCCTTCAATTCGCCAACTTATCATGCATGCAATGGCAGAATGGTACATGAGAGGGGAACAATATGACCAGGCCAAATTGTCTCGAATACTTGATGTGGCCCAGGACTTGAAGGTGGGTTCATAGGACAGGATGACTCACTTATTATTGAGGACAGCTGTTTTTATGTAACATGGATGCCTTAAGAATAATATGCTCTAATTACCTGTTAGATAATTTGCTTGAAATTGGACAGAATGGAAAGGAGCAGTTTGAGATATGTGAAGATTTTTCATTCGTTCCTTGCTTTCTGTGTTTTATATGGCTTTCTAAAGACAAGTGATAATTGAGCTCTTTGATAAATGATCTATAAGTATTTTTGCAGCAATTTTGTGTTTTCCCACGTAGTACATTTATTACAATCAATGAGATCTATTGAGAATCTGATGTAATGTAATTCATCACTAGATGTATTATTATTGATTGTGCTTCGGTTAAAAGAAGTCTGTTGAAAGTCTTGGAAATGGGTAGAGGTAATTATTCTTGCTTTCTGTCCTAGGTTTAGTTACTTAGAAACATCAGGATATGTTTATTGTGAAGGTAGAGTTCCATGTAAACTTTAAAATATGCTTGTTAGGTAAGACCTTCTCACCAAATTGTACCAAAGTGCTTCAAATACTTTGACAAGGGAAATACTTGGAGAATGTTTTATTTAGAATTCTGTGAAGAGTGGAAAACAGAAGTAGGCCAGAAATACACATAATTGCTTGTCTTGTTGCTGATCTTTCCTTGCTTAGGCCTTGTCAATGCTGCTAAATGGTACTCCATTTGCTTTTGTTATTGACCTTGCTGCACTTGCTTCACGTCGTGAATACCTCAAACTTGACAAGTGGCTCACAGACAAAATTCGAGAGCATGGGGTAAGCAGGGTTTGTTCGTTTATTTCTGCTTTTATGTTTTGTTTTGTTGCACTGTTTTTGGCTAAATGGCAAAAGGTACAACCCCCTTAAATGGCACTTGCTTATTCATGGCACTTGCTGATTTTCTTCAGTTAATTTCTATCTCTGATTACCTTTTGTTTTTCAGGAGCCATTCATCCAAGCTTGTATGACTTTTCTAAAGAGACGGTGCCCTTCTATTTTGGGTGGACTAGCCCCAGAGAAAGATCAGCCCAAAAGTGCCCAACTCCCTCCTGAAACTCTGGCAACTATGTTGGCTTGCTTACAAGCTTGTGCAGGGTAAGAAAAACTTGGCTGGAAATTGTTGTATTTAATAATGGAGTTGGATTATGTGGATGAATTACTGATTTCAAAAAGTGTTGGCTGAAAATGATATTCAAAAAGTTGGTTGAGCATGATAGCTGATTCTCATCTGGTAATTTTTATAACCATCGTATTGAACTATTTGTTGTGTGTAGAGACTTCATTTTACAATAATGTTTTTGTATGTGCTTTAAGATGCGGCACAGTTCTTTTGTAGGTAAATATTCAGGTAGCTTGGGATCCTTAGGTAGAAAAATCTTCATTTTCAAAGACAAAGTTTTGCTGGGTACATTATTCTGGGCTGAGAATTTTTTGCTTTTATAATCTGGAATATGTCACTCTTCTATTTTGCCCTGTGGAGTCTCTTGAGAACGGTCTCCTATGAATTTAACTAGCATTCCTTTATTTGTCAGTTGATTTGGGGGGGGCACATTTACGGATCTTTTCCTTGAAAAGAGCTTGATTATCATGTGTCATGGTGAAGATCGCTTTTGGTCAACCTTGTTGGGAGTTCTGTGCCCCTCCTGGATATTGGTTTCTCAATTCTTTCTATAGATTAGGGGAATTTTCTCTTATTTCATTGATTACACCTCTAATCCCTGCTTCTATCTGCACCTTCTGGGACTCCCATAACTTACATTTGGCCTTTTAATAGTATCTTTCAAATCTTGAATACTTTTTTACCTTGATCCAGTTCTGCTTCCAGCTTTTTGTTTGTTTCCTCCGGTGTTAGGAAATATCTTCCAATTCTGAGCTTCTTCCTTCCACATTAATTCTATTTTGGAGACTCTCCAATGTACTTTTAATTTGATCCACTGGAGTTCAGATCTCCACTCGCTGAATGCCACTGCGGTAACGGTCACTGGAGCACCACACCGTTGTTTCCGCTGCTTTCCTGTGTCTGTCAGTCTCCAGGTACCCCTCTGCTGCTGTGCTGTCCTCTCCTGTTTCCTGGAATGTGTCCTCTCTGCCTCAAACTGGCTAATGTTTCTCCATCTGTTAAAATGTGTCCTTACCCTATTCCACCATCTTGATTCTCCCAGGCCCAACTTTTAAAAATAATCAGTGAATTTGATATTTAAGTTATCTTTGAGCTTTGTTCTTTTACAAGATTGTTTTATCAGAAGCTTCAACTTTCCACATGTGCTTATCTTAGTTTTAGAGCAGCCACTTACGAATGAGAAGATAGCAGTGCTCCTGTGTGCACTGGTTGCATTTCCCAGCTTTCTGCGCTGGCCAGGTTGCTAATGGGAGTGGAGAACTGCAACTGCCCTTTTTTTTTTTTAAGTAAATTATTTGCCTTTATTGGAAAGTCGGACTTATAGAGATGAAAGAGCACCAGATCCCACTAAGTGTGATGGCCATGTGTTTTGAATTGATCTATACATTATTAATATGTTGTTTGGTTATGATATAGCATAAAAATTGCTTAACATTTGATTGGGTATGCCTGGGTGTGCATATGATTTGTTAACAAAGTAGTTGAAGATGTGAACTCTTTCTTAGAGTAATTTAAAATATTATTGCCGTTGTTTCCTGGTTTTGCTTTTCAAGAAAAAGCCGCTGTTTGGAAAATCAATGATGAAATGTGTATTATAAATGGATGGTATGTCTTGGAAATTATCTTTATATTCCAGCAAAACTTTTCTTTTTGTTTCTTTTCTTAATTAAACTCATATCATTTAGGTGTTTTTTGTTTTGTTTTTTTCATTTTTAGGAGTGTTTCTCAGGAGTTGTCAGAAACCATCCTCACCATGGTAGCTAATTGCAGTAATGTTATGAATAAGGCCAGACAGCCACCACCTGGAGTTATGCCAAAAGGTCGCCCACCCAGTGCTAGCAGCTTAGATGCCATTTCTCCTGTTCAGGTAAAATGAATGCTGCAGTTGGTATGTCCGAATTTGCTCATAGACTGGGAATAGAATAAACACATCTACATCTAAAGTAGTTTTTAAAATATATTCCATTTTAGATAGCTGCATGTGTACTGTTTTTGTTGTAATGGAGAGCCATAAGTAGGCATTGTAGTTGAGCATAGATTTCAGTCGCCACATAGATTTTGACTGAAGGAAAACTATTGAAAACTTCATTTAGGTAATGGAAAAGGTTTCTTTTTAAAAGTAAGAATTACTCTTGGAAGAATAAGCACTGCCTTTGAACCTGATATGTCTTGTTTGTAGCTTCACGGGCCATGCAACAGTGCTAGAGCATAACGACTTGTTATAACTGGGGCTCTTCAGCTCTCAACTGAACTGCTCTTTTAAAAACAAGGTACATTTAAGTTACTCCCTGACATCGACCACCCCTTTCTTTCTGGGAGCAACATATTCTGCTTCTGTTTCCAGCTGCAATGAATGGCAGGTTGGGGTTTAAGTGGCATTCGCTTATTTTCTTTTGTAATAAAAGTATGAAGTGGTGCCATGAGGCTTAGAAGTTTAACTAACTAGATAGTTAAAGGGATTTTTTTGGTGAATAGCAAACCTTGTTTTTCAGTTTGTTTTTGAAATTAGAGCTGACCTTCCCCAACCACTAAGATTCCTGAAATTTTGCTAATTTGTTTTTACTTGAAATTTTATTTCCAATTTCTTTTTTATTGTGTTAAGTTGAATAATTTGTTTTCAGAGATGGTCTATCTTGTGGTTACTATTGAAATTTAGTAAATGTGTTCTGTGGCCTTTGGTAATTGGGTAGGACTTGAGTATTTAGACTTAATAAGTATTTGACAGAAATGAATGACAGGCATGCTTGACTTGATTGGGAGGTTAATATGATTGTGTGGGTGGCGATTGCTTATTAAGGATTTGAACAGCTAATTCTAAAGATGCTTTACCTTTGTCATGTCTGCCTTTTCTGTGAACCATGTTTAATATATTTTTATACTATTTTTCTTTAGATTGACCCTCTTGCTGGAATGGCATCTCTTAGTATAGGTGGTTCAGCTGCCCCTCACACCCAGAGCATGCAGGGTTTCCCTCCAAATTTGGGTTCTGCCTTCAGTACCCCTCAGTCACCAGCAAAAGCGTTTCCACCCCTTTCAACCCCAAATCAGACAACTGCATTCAGTGGTATTGGAGGACTTTCATCACAGCTTCCAGGTAAGCAGGGTTGATCAGGGTTGTAGATAATTTATAGATGTATTGTTTTTGTAAAATGTAAGGCCAGGGTTTTTTTTTAAAGTTAAGTGTGATAAGGAAAGTACCATAAGCAGTATTGTGGAAGTTGCTTGAACATATTTAGAATGAAGAATGGGGGACCTGGTGCAGTAGCTTAGCAGTTGAAGTCCTCACTTTTCATGTGCTGGGATCCCAAGGTCTTGCCGGTTCTAGTCCCAGTGACCCTGCTTCCCATCCAGCTCCCTGCTTGTGGCCTGAGAAAGCAGTCGAGGACTGCCTAGGGCCTTGTGTCCCTGTACCTGCATGGGAGACCAAAAGGATGCTCCTGGCTCCTGGCTTTGGATCGGCACAGCTCTGGTTATTGTGACACCTTGGGAAGTGAATCATCAGCCGGAACATCTTCCTCTCTGTCTCTCCTCCTCTCTGTATATCTGATTTTCCAATTAAAAGAATAAAATAAATCTAAAAAAATAGAATTGAAGAAATTAGTATAAATTTTTAATTGTAAATTTAGCTTATGCAATATTCAGATGGAATTCATCTTTAAATTACAACATAGAGAGTAATTGTGTTGGTCACATAGTCTAAAGAGCTTAAATCAAAACCTCATGACAGTACAAATTATCCAAAGTTGGTACAGTACAAATTTGAGTTTTTCTGTGTACATGTTGAATTCAAGCATATTTTTCTGCTTTGTTGCAATGTTGCTTAAACTTTTTTCAGTTTCATTTCAGCTGTTTCGGGCTGGACCTTTGTATGATGTAAAGATAACATTTTTGCTTGAACTAGTTTCTCTATAGTTTCTATGTTCTGGTTTAGGTTACTGAAAGGAGAGAAATGTTGCAATGTGACAGTAGCTGCTAGACAGTTGGCCACACACTATTACTCATTCACTTAATGCTTATGAATCTTAAAATCTTTCTTTACAAAGATCTCATTATTTTAGGGTTCTTTTTGCTAGAGTTAAGTGGAATAAAAGTCCCAAATGTTTCTCTAGATAACAGCATGAAATTCTTCAGTGGTAAATATTTAGTAAAGCAATCTAGCTTTTACTTTTACTGATATGGATATGCTACTGTGCTTTGAACATACTTTAAAGTCTACTTTAAAATTTGGATACTGATGTCGATAATGCGGCTGAACTAATAAAGGAATATAAATGCTTACATATATTGTTTAAGATCAATATTTGTGATACAGTTTCTTAAATTGGATAAAAGGTTTTAGGGAATCATGAGTATGCATAATAAGGTTGCTGACTACCTTTGTTCTCTCTAGTAGGTGGTCTTGGCACAGGCAGCCTGACCGGTATAGGATCTGGGGCTCTTGGACTTCCTGCAGTGAATAATGATCCTTTTGTACAAAGGAAACTGGGCACCTCTGGATTGAATCAGCCTACATTCCAGCAGAGTAAGATGAAACCTTGTAAGTGGTAGTGTTGTCTGTGATTGTGGAGTGTGACTGATGTACACAAAAATTAAAAATAAAAAAAGTACTTGTTTTATTTGTCCTTAGAGCTATGTGAACAAAAACCTTGATGTCTCTTAGTAAGTTATTAAGACCGTACAATTAAAGTGGTTCATAGACTAATGAGAAGAATTCATGAATTTAAATGATTAAAATTAGAAGTGTCAGTTATATCTTTGTCCAGGATTGACAAGAAAGTAATAGCTAATAAGTGGTAGTTTGGAGATTGTTAATGCTTTTTTTTTTGAGATTGTTATCTTAAAAGCTGGAAAATTCTGTTTTTTAGAAAACTCTTGTGTTAAATATATGTATCAAATCTTTTTTTAAAAAATTTTGTACGTTTATTTATTTTTATTGAAAAAGCAGATTTTACACAGAGAATGTGAGACAGAGAGAAAGTGCTTCCACCTTCTGGTGCACTCGTTAAATGGCCATAATGCCAGAGCTGAGCCATTTCAAAGGCAGGAGCTTCTTCCAGGTCTTCCTTGCAGATGCAGTGTCTCAAAGCTTTGGATTATCTTTCCAAAGAGGATTCCAGCACTTGTAACAGCTGTTATTCCTGGCCGTATGAACCTTAACTGTAAAGTTTGGTAATTTAAAAAATTTATTATTCAAAGGCATATTACAGAAAGAGAAGAGACGGAAGGTCTTCCATCCACTAGTTTACTCTCCATGGTCACAACAGTCAGAGCTTAGTTGATCTGAAGCTCAGAGCCAGGAGCTTCTCTGTGCTGCTGCGATGTGAGTGCAGGGTCCCATGGACTTGGGCCCTCCTCCGCTGCTTTTCTAGGACATAAGCAGAAAGCTGATTGGAAGTTGAACAGCCAGGACATGAACATTGTATAACATTGTCAAGAATAATAAATGACACACTTAAAAAGTATTTTGATTTTAAGGGAGAGAGAGATGTAGAGGTAAGGCAGGTACCTTCTATCCTGTGTCCCCAGTGACTAGGAAGTGAGTAACACTGGTGCTCTGCTTTGGATGGTGGCGTTCAAAGGGACAGCTTAATTGCTGTACCATAACTGAAGCCCCTTATGTGAAATAGATTAAAACAATTTAAAAGTTTTGACTTCTTCAAAGTCCATAGATGAGAGTTATGTATTCTTGTATTTCCCTCTTCGACATAACTTTCAAATGTAACATAATAAAGTTCATGGAAAATACATATTAAGAAAATATTCTGTGTGAAATTCAGTTTTTGTAATAAAATTTATCCTTTCATTTTCAGTGACCTTTAGAAATTTCATTCATGATAAACAGTTCAGTTGACTTTTGAAAATGTTAGTGTGAAAGACTTGTCTGTTGTTTTGTAGCATGCTTTGTGTATCAGTGTGTCCCCTGTTACATGTGATTTGTATTAGAAATGATAAAACCTTGTTAACTGTTAGGGTATTTTAAGGGTAAGTGCCATGAATTTGGAGCTAGAGTAACTCGGCTATTTTGTTTTCATTTTTTGTTTGTTTGTTTTTAATTTTAAAGGAAAAAATATTTGAAAGGCTGACTAGACAGAAAAAAAGCAGAGATCTTTAATTCACTGGTTAATATCCCAAATATCTGGGCCTAGGTGAAGCCACCAGCCTGGAAACTCCATGCAGCCGTGGTCTCCTCCCTGAGTGGTAGGGGCCTGAGCACCTGAAGAGTTACCCTTTCCGCTTACAGGTGCATTAGCAGGAGCTTACAACATTGGAGATAAGTCTTGATGAAGAAAGCTAACAAGTAGATTATGTAGAGCATTTTAAATTTTTAGATCTAATTTTGAACACTTTAATTTTTTTCTTAAATTTTTCTTAGTGTTAACAGAGAAGGCTAGTTGGAGAATGTCTTCCATTCACTGTTTCACTCCCTAAAATGGCTGCAACAGTCTCACCTGAGTCAGTTTGAGTCGGTCTGAAGCCAGGAGCCTGAAGTTTCTTCTGGGTCTCCCATGCATGTATTGGGGACCAAGACCTTGTGTCCAACCCCTCTGCTCCTTTCCCAAGTGTAGCAGCCTGTATGTGATGCTGACACTGTAAGAAGGTGCTTAGCATGATGTATTGGACCCAAGAACTTTGATATTAGCTGAATTGCATTCATTAGTTTCTACAATTCTAACCTTTGATTTTTGGGCTACTGTTAGTTTCTCTGGCCTTGTGTATTTTATGGGAGAATAGAGGAAGGATATAAAAGCCTCCTGATTGTATTTTTGTTTCTAACAGCGGACTTGTCTCAGGTATGGCCTGAGGCAAATCAGCACTTTAGTAAAGAGATAGATGATGAAGCAAACAGCTACTTCCAGCGAATATATAATCATCCGCCACATCCAACCATGTCTGTTGATGAGGTAAGTGTGTGGTGATAACGTTATTGATTGTTTAAAAGTATATAAATGCCTTTTTAGAGGCTTGTGGATATTCACCAGTTGCTTTTAGTTATTTAAAAACTTATTGTCTATAGCATTACTTAGAGAACTATGCTCAATTCCTTTATTAACATTCAGGAATGTGATTTTTTTTTTGTCTTTCTCAGGTATTAGAAATGCTACAGAGATTTAAAGACTCCACTATAAAGAGGGAACGAGAAGTATTTAACTGTATGCTAAGAAACTTGTTTGAAGAATACCGTTTTTTCCCCCAGTACCCTGATAAAGAGTTACATATAACAGCCTGCCTGTTTGGTGGGATTATTGAAAAAGGACTGGTCACTTACATGGCACTAGG